AGAGGGACAGCCCCTTACCCTTCAAGTTCCAGAGAACAATGGAACATCTCTCAAAATGTCCTGTAAATGTGGTGGGTCACCTGCCCTCTTGTTCAGGGGGGCATGGAGACCCCACAAAATGGACTTGAACCAGTGTCCAGTCTACAAAGAGGAGGGTCAACACAGAGGAATCATTTCCTCCATGCTTCCAAGCGAAGCCAACCATGGTCAAGCAGGACCTTTGACTTATCTTCACATGGGTGGAACTGATAAAAGAAAGGAGCCAGGGGCTCTTCCCAAGCCCATGTGACCCCTGAGGAACACATCCTCAAATGACCTCAAGAGTAAAAATAAATCGGTTTATCTGGACCAACTGTATGGCCTTAAACACCCAAAGGGAAAATATAACCAAAGATTAAATAGGCCAACATAATTTCATAAGAGTCCATATGTATAACTAAAGGCTACATAACAAGCAACAATGCCAGACAGGCGATACCTTCTTTTGAGCTGTTGGCCAGGGTGGCCAAAGGGATTCCCAGATAGTAACCCAGCAGAGAACTGGGAAATTGAACAGCAGACCCCAATCTCATCCAAAGGAATATTGACAACTGATTACCGCTAGATGAGGAACAGCTGACCCTCCTAAAACAAAGACCTCTGACAGGCTGACTAGATTCACCAGAAGGGCAAGTAGTGGGGAGTGGCTGGGGGTGCCAACAACACAGCAGACAGTAGCAGGGATATCAGAGTGTAAGGGCTCTGGTCGGCGGAGGGAGGCTATGGGAAGATGCCACCTGGGAAGTGGGTGTATAAATAAATAAATAAAAAATAATTCTTCAAAGCATAAAAATTTGCTCCTTAATAATTAGTAGATGTGAAAAACATTACCATTGAAAGCTACATGATGACTTTATATCCATGCTCAGATGCCAAGGAGCTCAGAATGTAACCGACTGTGACTAGTAATAATCAGATATATAGAGATTATAAATGCATTGCATCTTAGTGTCAATTGTATTAAATGTGAATTTTTCTGTATGAAACTGTGTATTTTAATAATGAAATGGAGATCTTTTTTAAAGTTTAAAACCTCATTTAATTTTATGTCTTATAGGGTTTATACGGAGTACAATATTGTATAACTGTATTAATTCAACTGTAAACCTAAAAATTTACAGCCAATTTTGAAAGACATGCATCTTAGCTCTGGAAATTGTTATTGAGTATATCAATGCTGTTGTAATGAAATGCTTCTTCTAATTATAGGGTTATTAGATAAATTATATATAAAAAAAGAAAACAACAACAACAACAAAAAAGTCACAGCATTTCAACCCCCTAGAATTTAGAAGTTCATTCTGTTCAGAGATGAAGAATCTGTAAATGTACTATCTAGTTTATGTTAGAGAAGGTAAAATCTGCCAAGTATTAAAGATGAGCCCACCTATTACTACTGAATTAGTCAAATGAAAAAGCGTTCATTTTCAATATTTATTTGTGTGTGTGTGTGTGTGTGTGTGTGTGTGTGCATGTGTGTGTGTATGCATGCAAGTGTGGGTGCCTGTGGAGGACAAAGGTCTCAGATCCCCTGGATCTGAAGTTACAAGCAGTTGTGAGCCACCATATGTGGGTGCTAGGAACTCACATCCTCTGGAAGAGTAGCTGATCCATCTCTCCATTCCTGAAAAAGTGGTTTTTAAATTATGAGCTGTATCTTTTGCATTAGTGTGATCTATACACATAGCATAGGTATCATACCTGTAGAGGGTCTATATACACACAGATAGAGCATATATATGTATAATGATCAATATTTTACTAAAGAATTAGGCAGCTCTAAAGTAAAATGCCTATCTGTATAAAAATGAAGACATTAGGCCACCTCAGGTTAAATGATACAGATCAAGTTCCCAGCTTGAGGGCAAGGCTGTAATCTGAGTATTATGTTTCTCTCAAAAAGATGGGTTGATAGCCGGGCATGGTGGCGCAAGCCTGTCATCCCAGCACTTGGGAAGCAGAGGCAGGTGGATCTCTGTGAGTACAGCTGGGGCTATAGGGAGACCCTGCTTCAAAAAGACAGAAGAAAAAGATGGGTTGGTGGGGGCTGAAGAGATGACTCAGCAGTTAAGAGCACTGACTGTTCCTGCAGATGATGCAGGTTAGAAAACCAACATGTTACCCATACGGTGGCTAACAACCACCTGTAACTCCAGTTTCAGGGGACCCAATGCCCTCTTCTGATCTCTGCAGGCATCGCATGACACAAGTGTACTTACATACATGCAGGCAATACACTCAAACTCATAAAATAAAAATAATAAAATATTTTACAAAAAAAAAGATGGGTTCTTACTATAATTTACCTAGCCGAGGAAACAATGAAGAAAAAGAATTTCTAAGCACACAGTACACAGAATAAACCTCATAAATTTCAGTGCTTTTACCCTACAGTATTTTTTTAATAGAAAAGTAGTGCTTACAATACAGGGAATAAAGACTCCATCTGTCTCTTTTATTCAAACTTTTATGGTATTGTTCACACAAAACAGAAAGGTAAGACAAAGAAAATGTTTCCAAAGCTCTTCATATGTCAAATTCTGAATTAAGGCCTGGTGTCTAATTGTTCTGCTGCCTGGAACTGTCTTGTTCTGACTATTTAGCTTCTCCACAGTTTCCAATGAGCTTCCTTCATCTCGAATACACACACGTGCTCAAACACACTAAATCACAGTTAATTGCATGTCTTAAATTAAAAGACAAAAATAATGTACAATTAATTGGGGGAAATCGTCAATTGGTGACTGAGTCTTGCTCATTACACTCGATGAACAGGGTGTATGCTAACTGCTAGTTCCTAGCTAGGCAATCGTCTATGACACTAAGATAGAGGGCAATCCTCCGCAGAGCAGTCTGGACCGAAGAGCCAACAGCTTTTGAAACACTCACTACTGTACTTCCAGTGCATACAGTGTTTACGCAGAGAGTTTCAATGTAAGAGTGTGCATAATTATGGCTAATTAGAAAAAATAAAACATTCTTGATAAAGGATTGAACAGGGATGAGATTTTAGCAAATAATGGAAAAATCTAAGCTCTTACAAATGATTCTGTCATGCTTCGTGACATGAATAAATGGTAAGGACATACTCTTATAAGAAAAATTATTACAAGCCAGCATGTCTTTTCAAGGATATGGAATGGGTAGGTTAAGCAAGAAATTCAAGAAAGGGGAAGAAGGAAGACACTGGGAAAAACACAGCAAAATGTTAACAGATGTCATTTCTGAGTAATTCATGCTTCTGAAATTCTCTACTTTTCTAAAAAATAAACATTTTGTTTTTAAATTTTTCATCTAAATTTTTTCCTGAATCTGACAGAAACTATAAGTTTTAAAGATTTATGAGAATCGTCTAAGATGAACATACCTTGCTATAATAATAAAAATAGCGCCTTAATATTTAAAAAACAGTTGCAAAGCACCTATATACAATCCTAATATATTTTTACTTATACAGAAGAATCATCTCTATAGCATACATTTACAGACATAGTAAATACAACACTTTAAAACATGCTTAATAAAATTAAATGTTTATCAAAATAAAGTATTTGAACAAATATCCTATATTGGCAGATCATGGGAAAATCACTGCAAATCTTTTTTAAAGTTACTGATAGTGACAAACTACAAAATATACTCATTCACTGTGAACTTAATAATCTTGAATTTGAAGTGCTGCAGATCTTCTCTCCTCCACTCACCCTTCTTCTCATTATTTATTTTCTATCCTATAAAACAGACTTTGCATCTATCGACCTCATATAATCTTGATGCCAAATCTGACAATAAGCAACATATGCACACAAACACATGCAGAGTTTCATATTTTCATCAAAGTCGCTGGCAAACAGCAATGTTTTGCAACACACCACTAATCATGCTAACTTTTGCTTCATTTCCTTTTTGGAAGGAAAGAATACACAAAACCCAACAGAGTAAATACATTCTAGGACATACAACAATTTATTAACCTTGAAATGATAACCACTCCCTTCCCTCTTTTACTTATTAAGGGTTAGAAGGGAGAAAGATAACCATTATCCTCAAAGACCATGTCTCCACTTGAGGCACTGTTACATCCCAAGGGTAATATTTTCATTCCATTTTTAATGGAACAAATACCTAATATGAATATGTATTAAAAAATAATTGAGGCAGTACAATGTCAACTCATCATGCTGCCATCCAGTGTCATCTCCCAGTGCTGAGAATCCTCTAAACAAAAGCTCTGGTGGAACAGCATGTCTCAAGAGCAGAAACCCCAGCCTTGATCAGGAAAGGGGCAGCAAGGAAGGCGCTCCGAGTTTTCCTCCTGTGGATGCTCAAAGTTCTCAAAGGCCATGCTTAAAATTGCCAAGAACAACGTATTATAAACCTGCTCTAGGAAATGGAATTTAAATTAAGTGCCCCCATTTATAATGTTACGAGGAATACTTGAAAGAGCAGTCAATTCTGGTAGGATTACACTGTGTCTAGATTCCTGCATTATCATGTTCATAGGATAACATATACTTTGGAACACTGGACAGCCCATAATACCCAAAAATGGTACCAAGATTTCCCTTTACGTTTCTTCGAGTTTAATAAAATACTTATGCTTTTTTAGTTTGGGTGGTTCTACTTGACATTTTCAAAATAAAAACTAAACAAAAAAGATTTTCTGTGCCTATTCTATGCACAAATTTTTATTGACTCTTTCTTTGATAACGTGTTCAGATCTATTTTGTGCTTGTGATTATTTAAATCAGACTAATAAGCAGCCTAAATTTTATAAAAATCCACCAACCAACCATAACATTCTATGTTATTTTTCAAAAGACAGAAAAATTCTTTGCTTCAGAAAATTTTTACCATGATCTCTGATAACAGAAGAAGTGCCTCTACACAAAGGCAGCTCCACCGTCTGCCTGGCATTCTCACAGTGTGACAAACAGACTGGTAATTAACTGCTTTCTTACCGAAATCTGCCAGCTTTAACTCCCCCGTGTCACTGATCAGAAGGTTCTGTGGTTTCAGGTCTCTGTGCAGAATATACCGCTGGTGGATGTAAGACAGCCCTCGCAGCAACTGAAATAAAAACAACTGAAAAATACGAAGACGAAAGTTAAAATCTGAATCCAGATAAATGTAAGTTTATACGTACAATTACATTTTGTGAAAATGGGTAACCATCACTAAATGTCCTATTAAATTATTAAACAGGATGTGCAATACTAGCGCACAAACCCCTAATTCAGCAAAAAGCAAATCTGAAAATTACTAAAAATTAATTTTGTCAATTCAGATACTTGCTCAGTCAGACAGATCTATAATTTGCATTCCTTAATGAGCAAAATATCAAGTGTTTATAGTATTGATTTCTTTAGCCTATAATGGGATCTGAGAGAGAAAAGCTGCCTATAGCACTACTAAAGATATAAAAATTTAAATATAAATGCTTATATTTATTCAATTTCTTAAGATGGCATCCATGAATTCACCCATTCCCACATTTTAGGAAGAGAAAGATGATTTGAAATAATTAATCGCCACATGGATGATTAATAATAAATTGTGATCATACTGCCTTTGCACATATGGCCATAGAGATTACTGCCTGAACACAGACTTGCACCTTCACTAACTGCAGAGCTGACCTAGCCTAAATGGACAGGAAACAGAAAATAGAGGCATTAAAGATTCAAGAGCAATAATTTTTCTGTGACAATTAATTTAAGAAATGACAAATGGCCTTCTCTTTGAAGTTTTATATCAAACATTGTATTTTGATAACATTCCAAATTCCTTCTTGTAAAAGAGATTAGTTTCAAACAATTTGCTTGCTAAAATCACTCTAACTGATCTAGCCTTTAAACAATCAATCATAAAATAAACAAAAATAAAAGCAAATGTGTTTTTACATTTATGTGCCACCAACATTCTTGCTCTGTATAACCGGTTAGTGACAAAAGGGAGTTTCAAGAAAACTTTACATGAGTTAAAAGACTGATGGTCTAACAATTCTGGATTATTCAAGTGGAAAAGATTTAGCAACTCCTTGAGAGCCTTGGGAGCTGGTATTTCTGAAATGTTCCAACTAATAAGGACTATGAAATTCAAGCACAAGTTTCTACTGAGATGATATCTTGAAAAAACAGTATGATTAATTCATCTAAAAATCTTTGTATGTGATAATGTGCATGGCTCAGAAAAGGTCTGGGATCACTATTTCCAGAGTATAAATAACCCAAAGGGTATGCCTGTTCTCAGTTAGTCTAGGCTGAAATACAGGCTTAAAGACTTTGGGAAGCAAACATCTCTTCAGACCCTCCGCTCTTCTTGTATAGAAGATGGGAAAACTTGATAAGCATTAGTCTCATTCCTCAGTTCTAATGTCTCTGTTCCCTGGAGCTTAAGGTTTCTAATTTCTATGAAAATCCCTACTTCTTCAGTTTAGAAGGAAGAAAAGTGGCCAAATCAAAACATGTCATATTTTGAAAATCTTTAAGACAAACATGCATGTAGACCATATAACAAATTAAATTTCAAGAATAAACATTTTAGTACAAAATACTTGGGCACTGTACAAGATGCTAGCTGTTCTTTAGGAAAAAAAGAGACTGAGAATCCATTGTCTTCCTACTCATGAAAATGCTTTCAACTTAAGGATGTAAGACACTGTAGATGCAAGCTGCTTTTCTATGCATTATAGAATACCACCTCATTTAACCCTATGGCAGGTGTTACAAAGTAGATCCTATTATTATCTCTACAATAGTGATGAAGAAAGAGTGTAGTTTCTAATGATTTCTCTGCAATTAAGTTCAAAAGCCAGGACTGAAACCCAGATTGTTTGAGTACAAAGCTGACACCTTTAACTAACCTAGTATAGAAATTATAGACAAGAATCAACACATGTAGGCACTGTGCTGACATATAAGCTGTTTCCTCAAACTGATGGAATAAAATATGGGCATCTAAGAACATGGCCTCTGAGCCCACTGAACTGACCTCTAATTTCAGCTGGGTGCTCAGTCACTATCAGTCCACATTCCCTGGCTCTAAGAAATCTTGTACCCACCTGTGAGTACAGGCATGTTGATCTTCAAATTTGTACCTTGGTCCCTGTTTCTTTGCCAGAAAAGACAACTCTCACCATTGCCTATTCATTGCCATCTACTACTTAGGTCTCTTCTCAGAAATCCCTTCCTCCCTGGTACCATCCCTGTCCTCCTCAGACCCTCCCTCTCACTCCCACTTGTCTGGGTGAGATGCTCCTCCTCTCTGCCCCCAGTGTACATTCTGCATGCATCTAACACAGTACAGTATTTAACAACCTCCCCCACACTGTATGCCTTACCCCTTGTTAGAAACTGGATATACAGTTGGCACTTCTATACCAGTAATGGGATTACTGAATAAATTTAGAGACATCTGAATAGAAGCAGATTTTAAAAAGTCATAGAGAATCCCATTCTAGGATTTCCTAACAGCTAAAGGCAGAAGAAAGTAGACTCAAAAGCACCAAAGGATTCTTCTTTTAATACCCGCAACAATTAGTGAAAATACATAATCCTTATGCTAATCCACAAGGATACCTTATTTAAAGAGATTAGGAAAACCTATTATTAGGGAAGGATGAGACTATACTCTCCAGTTTTAAATGAACAAAAGCCTCAAACATGGCAAACAAGTCCCCAAAATGTATAACGTCAAGACAGAGGAAATCTATACACAGCAAATTTACAGCTAGGTTCTGTTATACAAAAATGGACAGAAGACATGGTTCCCTAGATTCTAGGAACTCACAGTACATTTGGTATGATAGTTTTGTTGTTTGTTTTGTTTTTAATACAGGTTCTCCCTGTACCCCAGGTCTCCTGGAACTCATTGTATAGATTAGGCTGGTCTCAATCTCATAGAGATTCTCCTCCCTCTGCCTCCTGAGTGCTGGGATTAAAGGCATGTATCACCATGCCTGGCTTTATGTTCGGTACGACATTTACACAAACAGATCACTGACACTTAAGAGATCTTCACTATATGATAAACACTGAGCACCCAGAAGATACTAGGAAAGAACTAGCAACAAGAAAGTAGAACTGGTTCTACTATCATATGAAGATTAGCCTGTGAGAGGAATCAAGAAATTTGTCATTTGAAATGGAATTCATTATACATAAAAGGACACTGTGCTAAGCTAAGTGATCTTTGGACACAGAAATTGAAATGATGATGTGATAAATCCCTTGTTATTCTGAAGGGAAACTTTAAGAGACCAAGGTCACAGGTATAACATAAATTCAAAAGGAAAAAGAATAAACCAAAGAAGATAATATACAAAACTAGAAACTACCAACACACTGTCATAAAAGTAACGGGTGGCAATTAGAAAAGTTCACTGAAGCTGGTTGTGGTGATGGTGCACATCTGTAATCCCAGTACTCAGGAGGCTGAGGCAGGAGGATTGCAAGCTCTGGGCTTGCCTAAGATATATAATGAGACTTTACAAAGAAAAGAAAGGAAGCGGGGGAAAGGGAAAGGAGGGAAGAAAAGGAGAGAGGACGGGAAGAAGGAATAGGGAAAGGAAGGAAGAGAAACAGGGAAAGTGGAGAGGTGAAAGGGAGAGAGAGAAAGGGGGTCTGGAGAGGAGGGGTGAAGGAAAAGTAGGAAGGGAGAAAGAGGAAAGGGGAGGGAGAAAGGATTGGAAGGGCCAGGGAAGGAGACAAGAGGACAGAGGAAAGAAACAGAAAAGGAAAAGAAAGGCTTAATTGAAACAGTTGGAAAACTAGATGTTTTTACAAATAACTTCTTAATGTGACTAACATTCTGTGCACTGGTAAACAGGGTGAGAGACACTAAGGACTCAGCACCTCACTGAGTTAGGCAGAATGCCCCACATGCTACTTTGTGGGAATATGTAGGGGTCTCAATTCTTCAGAATTTCTTCTTCAAGACAAACAAGCAAATGCAAATACATAATCCATTAAAATTTCTGAAAAAGCAAATTCTCTTGGTTGTTGCATATAACGATGACACAACCAAGCTATTACCTGACCTTCTACAAAAAAACGAGAGGTCATTGAGAAGAAAAGGACCACCAGAATATTCCACACAGGCAGAGAGGAAGAATCAGCTCTGCTATAAAAACTTAGCAAACATCAGTGGAGCTTCAAGTAATAAAAAATTAAGAAGGGAGGCTAATACTAGTTTAATGGGGGAGCTTAAATTTAAAGATCACTCCAAGCACTTTTACATATATTATTTAGCCTTTTCATCCTACAATTCCATATTTATCCTTTTCTTATAAACAAATGGAAAACCAGAACAAGTTTACTCAGAGTCATTACTCTCACACAGTTCTCATAAGCTCTGTATCACATCTCATTATTTTAAATGAGGCTCATGCTTACTGCATGCATGGCTAAGTACAGTCAGATACCTAAATAATCAATGTGCTTTCATTATTAAATGAACTCAACTTTGTAAAAGCCTCAATTAGCATACAATGATCTCTATGGTTCTTGAATTTCCATTATTTTCTATTTAAAAACTTCCTAGAAATAAATAATATAGCAGAAAGTAGTGTCATGTAACAAAGTTGGTAAATTATATTTGGAATTATCAAGTTGGTAAATTATATTTGGAATTATCTTTCTCTCTTCTACTGCAGTGGGCACAAGGTCTTCCCCAAAACACTATCAACCCTGGATATTCTGCTCAATCTTTATGAAAAAATCCCTCAATTATCTATCAGCATGATCTCTGAACATATGTACTCTAGTGCGAGTAAGCTCAATTTCTGTTAATAAAAACCCAATGAGCAGGCCTTAAGAGGCAATGATGTGCTGAGTGGGGACACTTGTTTCAGCAGCAGATGTGTCTCTAGCTGTGTTGTCTTGTCATTCTCTGCAGGAAGCGGTCCACACTCAGTGCCACGGCAGTGGGAACATCCTTTACTACTTCATCTATTCCTTTAAAATCTTCAAACAAGTTTTAGAAGTTAAAAAAAATAGATCAGGGATTTTATCCTAACTTTCAGTTAGGTGTAAAGGTACACATTATCGGACATGATATGTTGTATTTATTGTGCAGAAGAATTT